ATGACGGTCACCGATGGTTAGCTACACTGAGTGATACAGCTGGGTGTCGCAACCAGTGGCGCTCGTGCATCGATTTGTTATTTTCCTAACACCACTATATATGTATTCCCCATCTTCCGCTTGAATTTGCCTCGACATTCCAATTTTCATTTCGCTCTTTTATCCAAATGGGCAACCAAAAGACAGCATCCAAAACGGGCGCACGAAGTGCAGGGTAATGGTTGTAAAGCTGAACTGAGCAGCATAGATTGCAAGCCACGAGTAGTAGTAACCTTCTTTCAGCTACGAAAGTCAGGTCGTAGGCGGTGCGCGACGAACGTGTAGTTGACACACCCAGAGTGAGTCTGATTTGCGGTGTCATATTGTCTGCCTATGTGCTGTTCTGGTCTCCGGACGTAGAGACCTTGAAAATTGATGCAAAAAGCGAAAAAAATCTACAGAACTAACCGATCAGTGGTCGGCAGCTGGGGGTGGACGATGAAGGCCGAAATGGCGCCAATATTGTAAAATAATTGTAGAAATTATAAATAAAAAAGAACTTAAAAATACTTGAAAATAGACGGTTTGAGATAATAGTCTTTTCAGCTTACAGAAGTCCCGCTACATATATAAAAGCGGTGTTTATAATACTGATCATAATTTTCTTCAAGGCTAGCTGATGCTGGGAGCATAATAAAAGAACAATCTACTGTATGTCCTGTTCATTGTGATCGTTATGGTGTCACTAAATTATTGTCGTCAGAAATATTCGTTTGGTCACGTTTCGATCACCGTGGATAGCTCTCAAGACAGTTTCTAAAATCAAAGTACCCTGACTGACTGGCCAATGAATACATGCATATATATATATTTTTACAAAACTGTCATATATATATATACATATAATGTACTACACTATGTGCCGAACAAATCATAATACAATGATCTTTATACATGATTCCATGATTTGCGTGTGGGTCGAGTACTGCCAAGTTGCCCAGGCCAAGGCAAGTGAATTTTCTCGAGGAATCCACAACTGGAGCCTTCGGCTAACCAAAGCCTGACCCGCAAGGCAACGTAGCGGTGTGTGAACATCGCAATCTATTGCGGGCCGGTGTCCAATTCATCGGATCATACGTCCTTTGGACGGGGTCAAACGTCCAACGTGCCCTATACACCTCGATGCCCAATCAAGCCGAAGGCCGTCGCCACAACAAAGGTGTGGTTGAGTGTGGTTCCTACGCCTCCCTTTGTTTGGTATCGAATCAGGGTTTTGGGCCAGCTTCCCTAAGTGAACTATCTGTGATTCACCAACCCGGATGTTGACTTTTCGTCCTCTCACTTTGGTGGGAAAATACCTCCACCACGAGAAGATAGTGAGTAGGCTTGTTCAGCAGGGGCTATTTGAGGCACTTAGTCGTATGGGAGCATTTCGCGAGGTGCAAGGGAAGGACAATCAGCCGCAACCCTAGATGAAGGATGAAGGAGCAGAGGGAAAGATGAGAAAACTGGAGTTGGTACCGGGGTAAGGATGCAGAGTATGCTGTCGGTTAAGTGAGATATCGTTCTGCGCATTGTTTTTCGGTTTGCTTTGTGCACGTCTTTCAGCCACTTCGACAACTTATTTAATGATTACCAAAAAGGCCTATGCTTACTACTCGGGTGTATTGCTTATCTGATCAGATAATGTCACAGTAAGAATCCCTACTCTAACCGTTCCCTCAGTTATTTGGTTGCTGCTCTTAGTCAGAAAAATCATTTTGTCTTCTTAAAGTAGCTACTGGCAAGTTTGCAGAAGTCATCGACTTGGTGTGATGGCATGATGGTGTCTAAAGATCTGTCTAATAGTAATAATAACCCAAAATAATCCTCACCGCGTGTTAGATTGTCTAACAAGAAGGTTTGGTTGCCACTGGCTGCTTTGATTATGCATCCTTGTCTTCGGGGTCGAATCATCAATCGTATTGTTTCCTTTGAATACGTGTGCTTTGGATTGTTTGATTCACAGTTTAGACGCAGTGGTCGTAAAATCTATACGTGCATCTTTGACAGTCATGTCCGCACGCTGAAACGACTGAAACGCAAATTCTAGTCGCACCCCCAACCTGGAGGACCAAGAGACTGAAGTTCGTCTAACGTCTACCCTTCGACCTTCCATGCACGATTAGATCTTCGGCTTAATAAAAGCCATCCTGTGAAGCTCTTTGGGTGAGAGAACTGCACAAGCCACCACACCACGTCAAGGTGCAGTCTCGTCGTGATTGTGTCTGCCCACGACCACTTTGTGTTTGTGTGTGTGGTCTTCTAATGCGCCTTGACCTGTGTGTGTATGTGTGTGCGCGATTGGATTATTTGACGGGGTATCTCTTAAGATATTTATTGTCGCAAAAATATTCTGTTTTCACGGGGATTGTTACCTCAAACGTCAGTTCGGCAACGCATCGCTTGGCGCACAAAACATTCTGTTGCCCAGTTGAGGTGGTCTTCTTCAAGGGTATAATTCCATGATTTCAAATCACAATTTGGCAATCTCTCTGGATGATCTGTTCCTAATCCAATAATTGATTCTAATCTGTTGCTTTTACTCCACTCACTTTGATACGGTTACAGATATGTGATCTACGGCGAAATTGATTGAAAAAGTTCATGAAAATTCATGTGAATATCATCTCTTGTGATACTTCATCTGTTTCCTGTTGTATTCTTTTCGTTGTAACTATCCACTCACCACAATCTATTATTCAGTTTTCTTCGCGTGTATATAATTGAATATCTCTTTGGTCCAATTAACAGTCATACGGATCTATTTGGCTTTATTTATAGACTTTACAACGCACTCTCAATAATCTTGTCGAGGAACGAGCTAAGACGGAATCTTCGGTAAGCGTCGTTGCTTTAGAGTAGCATGTGTCATCCCATTATAACCTGCTTCACTCATCCTCAAATCCAAGTGTATGCGGTTCATTGTTCACATGGTATATTTTCCGAACCACAAATTCATTTAAGTCGCATCTGATACAAATAGTTACTCAGCATTTTTACTAGGCATTTGTTTTGTAGTCCGCAATGAACGCTCGTCTTTTTGCATCCTCTTCATGGTTCCAAAACTTAACATAGTGCAACTGTTTGTTTTAAAACGTCGTAGTAGGTTGCCTTTACCACGACATTTACATTCTGCAGAATCCAGTTAGATTTTTTCTTACCTTAAGTAATAATCTGCATCTTTCTCCACTTCGTTTATGTCTTCTGACACAGCTGACGTCAGATTTCGAGGCTTGTTCTCAAAATGTTACGGACATGTGTCATAAAACCATCGAGACTTTTGCGGATGCAGCAGTGCAGTTGAGAACTGCCAACACGAGTGCCGAAAATGCTGAAGAAGAATTTCGTGCGAATCATCATAATCACCTGGCTGACTTATCCAGTCATATTGACCAAATGACCTCTGTTCGTGAGGGTTTGAAAAATGGACTGGTTGAATTCATTGAAAATACGGGTCAGCGTACGCAGCAGTTTGATAGCCACGGTTTGGGAGCTGATTTACGCCTTCGTGTATCCGAATGGAACTCTTGCGATTCCGCGATCGTTGATGATGGAGCAGTGACCCGATTGCAAGAGCTCATGAAGGCGAACAAGGAAGGTGTAGTTGGTCTGTTGGATGAGAACACTGAGCAGTTACTAAAAGTTGAAAATTTCTGTGGGGATACTTCGTACAAGGTTAGTTGTTGAAGAGAAATTGTTATTTCGGTTTGGTTTGTATCGTTTCCAAACGCAGTATTTCGTGATTCCGCGTTGAAAATTCGTTTCAACTTTGCTGTTCTTTGTAGTTCTCTTTGGGATTTACCGAAGTTCACGATAATCTGGCGCAATTTCCAGAACACCTGCGTGACCGCCTAGATCAAGATTTACAATCCTATCAACCCACTGGTCAAACTCCGCAACGGCAGAACTTCACCCTCCCTTCTGTGTTGGCGCGTACTGATTCACACCGTTCACTTTTAGCTCGATTCCGGGCCAGTCAGCAAATAAGGAGTTTAGAGGAAGTGTCTCTCACACCACTTCCCGACAGCAACAGCTCTTTCGGCGACAGTCCCTTAACGAAAGCAGACCATGAAATATCTGATTTGGATGTTTTCTGTTCCGATCAAGCAAATAAAGAGAATCGTGTAAACACCAGTGGTTTGGTAAGTTAATGCTTTTCACTCATCGTGATTGTTATTCTCATTTGTATTATTATGCGTATACCGGGTTAGTCTTTAATCGTATTTTGTATTGCTCATCATAGTGTAATGAACAGCAGACAGGGTAAACCCCATGGTCACAAGGACCTGCTGTTCAGTGATGAAGACCGGTAGCCTTAGCTCCTACCTAGACTTGGAGTGGTGAACCACAAGAAACCCTTTTTGGTTAGGCGTGGTAGTGAACCGGACGACAGCAAAGCTGCCTTCCACCACCAATATATGGAGTTATACTTACCATACACGCGATCAGCACCACCGTCAGCCATAGATAGATTCATCTCTAAGTTCAGTCAGTTGTGCATCGTAAAATCTAAATCAAAACATTCGACATCGATGCCTCTCAATATCGTTCGACTTGGTTATTCGTATCATTATATTTACACTCCGGCCTGTTATTGCACGCCTGTATGGTGCTTTCAGGGCTTCAAAATGTTCTGTTAATGCTAAATGACAACTATTGCTGCTGAGAGCATTGAACCCGATTCTGTTTGTTTATCCACCAAGGACCCATGTAAGCCTTACGAGTTTGAGCAAAGGTGAAACCTAACATCGCTGGTAATTTATCCTAGTGTATAATATGCTCCGTGCGGATGGGAAAAGGATTTCCAGAATCTAATTCCTGAACTGCCTATTTGGATGTTGCTATTCAGTTTTAATTATTTGAATAGCCGCGAAAAAAGCACTGAGAAGAACGACGTGGCGATCAAGCTCCCTTTCAATTATTCATAACATTGGTAATAAATAATACGCGGAACGGTATAGTGACACGATAGTGCAAAGTCATGAGTGGTTGCCGAAGAAAATAGAAGCTGTCAAAAAGCGTGCATATGACCATCTATCGTTTACAAGAGATACGAAGGCAAGCGTTACTCAAAGAAGGTTCTCAGGTGTAGCAAGGGGAATACGTTACTCTGGACAAGTGTGGACCATTCATATCGAGACCAATGCCTTTTGCGATCGGAGAACAAAGAGCCAGATTCCTTGCTCTTGTTCTACGTATACTCATTCATCTGCCCGTGTGGAACTGTCAGGCGCTTATTGGATTCCATTCATTGGTATCGACCTCCTTAATTGGGAACAAGGGCTATAAAGATCATTGCGGGTGCTTTGTTGGCACCAGGAATCATATCAGTCAGTGAGTGTAAGAAACACGTTTCGATAGGTTCTCACTCTTAATAAGACGAAGAACGATTGAGACCGTTACACGTACACAGCCTTTTGCTATTGACTACTCACCACTCCTTGGGCTCTTTGTGACCTGGTGTTTCGAGGATTTGCTTGTAGAGTTGTATTGCACATTAAGAGAGATGACTCTGTGAGCACCCAACAAGTCAACATAGGCTAAGGAAATTCATCGTGTGTGCTTTGATTGTTCCAGAATCCGTCGGTAATTTGATTTCTATTTGACTGGGGTGGTTGGGCTGCGTTGTAAGGAAATAGAGCTCATTTTCGAAGTTCGATTTGCAGCCATCACTTACTGTGTGCTTTGGGCATCCATTTCAGCGGATTTGTTACGGTTTTTCGTCAGGCTCACAGGAGAGCATGATCCATATTCACGAGTGACCAGCTTAACCGGCAATCTTGAATGGATCCTAGCCCGTGTTAGCTGATCGCAATGAAATCCATTTGAGTATATCGTTGAGGAAGAAGTTCGTGAAATTTCGCCGGCTGATTTACTAGAGGACACCAGTCGGATGATGAATCTGGAGTCTTAAATGCGAGTTTCTCGGATACAACACAGCAAATAGCTAGGGTCTCGAGCGCACTAGCTAAATACGCCTGTTATCATGTGCGCATAGGAATGTGCACGTTAAATGTGGTAAGTTTGAACGGATGCCAAGGTTTTAAACAGGAGAACAGCGTTCGGCATCACTCGGGCACTACTCGAAGCCGGATGTGAGAGGATAGAAGCAGAATTTCAATCTGAGTTACTACTGTTAGTGCAGTCGTCTGAATTTCCCGATGGAAGTATATACGTGAGAGAATAGGGATCAAAAGGTAAAGAGTCGATGAAATAAGGGAATGCGTCCGGTATAGAATTATTCTCGTCGATGAAAAAAGGCGTAAAATTCGTATTCATCGATGGAAAAATCATGGATATATGCGTTGTGAGATGTTTTATTACTTGGATGCCTGGGTCGGAGTAGGCTTTGCTCGAGGATGCACAAATGCGAAGTGATGGGCAACAAGGTTGATCTACACTAACCTGTGGCCGGTTTTTCGATATTTTTTCCGGATAACCTCGTCAACAGGTAATATTCATACTCGGTGACGGGCCACATTCGTCACAACGCTATCCAAAGATATACGGTGCTGTGCGCGGAGAACCCGTACCAAACACACTCGAGCATCGCCTCTGACGTTCGCAACCGCTTATTAAACGAGCCTAGGTCTTATTCATGAGTAGCCGTGAATCGGCCGCCGTTCCCCATATTTGTGGATAATTCTCCCGGAGAGAAAGCTGTTCACCTTTCTCGCCAGGCGATGACCGCCACACCTCAATCAGTTTATATGAATACATTGCGGCACAGCTGACGTTTAATAGTTTTTTTTTTTGGGGGGGGGGGGGGAGTTGTTCTTATTTGTCCCCATAAAAAATTGTGTACGTGTTAGTTTTAACAAATATTTTCGATATCTGTAAGAAGACCCAGTATCAACCAATCAGTTCGTCGTGCAATAGGTACGTGCAGTTAAGTTTTCGATGAGTTGTAGGCCACAACCATATGAGTTCACAAGATTATTGGTTTTCATAAATAATTTTCAATTTTTGCTTCTTTTAGGGCTCGGAGACTTCAGACACTAACACAGATGTAAGAAAGGTAAGTCCTGCGTATGTAGTTAGTTAACGTAGCTGCATGTTCCATGTTTCCTTTCGTGGAATATTCCGAATTCTTACGTAGCCTGTATCTCCTTAAGAGTTTTTTTATTGTTCCAGTTATATCGGTTTCGCTTTGACAGTTTTGATAAATTGCGAGAGAATTGTGAATTGAACAGCTTTCGTTATGTCGCTTTATGTCTCTACTTATTTACAGTGTTCTCTTCCCTACAACCAGTGCGAATCAGAAGAGACACATGGTAGCTATTGAAGACAGTTCCAGATTGCATAACGAACCAATTCTTAATACACATACTGCCAAAGATTGACCACCGAACATAGATTTATTCACCTTCAATAACATTGTTTGACCTTCCTAAGTTTTCTGTGGGATGTGCAAATGTTCAACCCTGTTATTGGAGCAACTGAGAGCACTTCCATGACTGAGCGTTAGCACGTGCGTGCTGACTTTTGTTGCATAATGGCTGTTTTAGGATCATCAGTAAATGTGAAAAATAATGAGTATGCCGCAACAGTTATAAGCTAACGAAGACGCACCAACCAGGAAGCTAAATTCGAATACCTCACGCCTTATCAGCAAATCTGTACTGTCAACTCGCGTTATCGATCCCCCGGGAATCGGACCCGGAAATGTAGTCACACTCTCGAAACACACGACGTTGAACATAGTTCGGTTCAGTTTTTACAACCATCAACCGTGCACTTTCGTGCGCCGGTTTTGGGTGCTGTATTTTGGTGCCCTATTTGAATAAAACAGCAATTTGAAGATTGGAATGTTGAAAGCAAATTCAAGCGGAAGATGGATAATTTATTTAGAATGGTGTGAGGGGGTGCACGAGCGCCACTGTTTGAGACACCCATCCATATCACTCAGTGTATCTAACCATCGTCCATCATCCCGAGATCCCCAGCCAGGGAGCCCAACGGGACCTGTGACCTAGTCTCCTGATTAGGGTTTTCATACCCTCACGCCAGGTCTTCGTTTGACCACCCTTAACCCCTTTCCAACCGCTACCCGCCTCCGCAAAAATCGTTCGCCGTGGCAAACTATTTGGTGACATGCGTAACACATGCCCCAACCAACGTAATCTATAGAAGTCGACCACTTGCTGCAATGGACAACCGCGAATGCCTAGAACTCCATGCCCAACCTTAGCATTGCTCATCCGGTTTCCCGCACCAGACACGTGCAATGCTACGTAGACAGCGGTTTTCGGACATCGACAATCTATTTTTGTCCTGTTCCCCTGGTGACCAAGTATCTGCACCGTAAAGCAGAACAATGAACATAGGCATGACTGAAAACAAATGATTTTAAAAAGCAAACAGCCAGAGAGCTTAGACGAGGTGGGTTAAATGATGCGGATGTGAAGGTAGTGAGACACTAGATTCGCTATTTTGAGAATGATGGCGAGGGGTACCATTGTGGCCCGCCGAGACAGGCAACTAACAGAGTTGAACGTCTTTTATTTATGTGGGTTATTGAGGCTAGTTACCGTGCGATGTAGGCCAGTCATCTATTTCCTGAGATGGTGAGGTCAACGTTTCTTAAGTGCTCGCTTGTAAACTTCAATAGTTGGTGCACAAACGGCCTGGGAGTAGAGAGTATTCTAAGTGGTGCACACTAACAACAGAAGATTAATGCCGGCATTCCAGTCGACAATTTTGATTTACGAACTTGAGATGATGTACTCTATGATGGATATTCGGTGACTACGAGCAGCAGGCGGCATGGATGCTTTCAATTCTTTAATATTTGATACATCAAATCAAGTCCTCTCGAAGTCGACGGTGCTGAGTGGAATATAATTTCAACGACTTAGATCTTTCCCTGCTGGTGAAGCAATGCAATCTCTTCACCAGGAGAAAACGGATTCTGCAGCTTGTTTGTAGTATCTTACTCTGATCGAAAACCGTTTTGGCCTCATTTGCAGGAGAACAAAAGGGACGGATAGTCAAAACTCTAAGAACCTGAGAAGGGTTTTAAAGAAAAAGTAGGAGGCGCTGCCGAAACTCTAAATACAAAACGTGATCAGCATTGCTTGAGATTTGACGAGGTTGTTAAACGTCTGGTTAATAATGCGACCTTCAAACCAATACGTGGCTTGTTTATCCT